ACACACTGTTATGCCTGAGGTTGCTATTTATTTATTTGTTTATGCGTATGTGTGTGTGCGTGTACGTGCTAGTGTGTGTGTGTGTGTGTGTGTGTGTGTGTGTGTGTGTGTGTGTGTGCGTGCGTGCGTTGTTGCGTGCGTGCGTGTGTGTGTGTGTGTGCGTGTTGTATGTGTGTGTATGCGTGTGTGTGTGTGTGTGTGTGTGTGTGTGTGTGTGTGTGTGTGTGTGTGTGTGTGTGTGTGTGTGTGTGTGTGTATGTGTGTGTGTGCGTGTGTGTGTGTGTGTGTATGTGTGTGTGTGTGTGTGTGTGTGTGTGTGTGTGTGTGTGTGTTGTGTGTGTGTGTGTGTGTGTGTGTGTGTGTGTGTGTGTGTGTGTGTGTGTGTGTGTGTGTGTGTGTGTGTGTGTGTGTGTGTGTGTGTGTGTGTGAGCGCGCTTGTTAGCATATGTCAGTCTGCAATTGCATAAATGAATGTATTGTCGTTTAACACGAAGTTGGTGTCGCGCGGAAAGTGGAAAGCGAGCAGAGCAGACAAGCCACGTAGGGCCAGCATCAAGGCCTTGGATCCTAGTCGAGGCTTTATGACAGCAATACGTGTGCATATTTTTATCCAGGGGCGACGGCAGAGCATGTGGGTGCATCCTGGTGCGTGTCTGTGAGCGGAGTTTACAGCATTCACATGGGATCACGGGCCGGCGCCTATGTGGGTAGCGGGTACTATTGGAAAGTGGTGCTGATTAGAGCGGGTAGCGGCTGGCATTTCAGGGCCATGCACCAGTGCGGTTGGGTTGGTCACGTGGCCGTAGTGAGGGTACGGCGAGCATGACCTCACACTGTGTGAGGGTTTACTGTTGTTCGCTTATGTGGCATCACGGAGTGGGCTCGGGGCGGCCATTGCGTAAGCGGAGGGTTGCCTTGGGGTTCCGGGGCGGAGGTGGCGGCTTGGCAGGACGTCGATGCGCGCGACCTCTGTTGATACTCGTTTGGGAGCACCCGTAGTACTGTCTAAAATATTTGTAATTTTTAGCATGTTTACAATAAGGGGGCAGTGGCGTGCAGAGGAGGGGGGGGTTCCAATTAGAGAGGGAAGTAAGAGTGATTTTGAAATCTATATTCAAATCAAATAAAGTGTTATTTCAAGTTTAATCTGTTGACATATTCGAAATATCTCCCTTTCTCATAATTTTGCTCAGTACTAGGCCTGATTGGTCTCTAGGACATGGCCCGGGCATCACCTGACCTCTGAACGCCACAGAGGGGGGGCGGCCTCTTTGGATTTTACATTCGTGAATTAAATAATTTTGAGAAATGGCAGTAACCATTATTACGTAATTAACAGCAAAGTAAATCATTACGGGTTTCATTCGTTCATAGAGACAAGTTTGATGAAGATGGTCGGCACTTCGGAAGTCTTAATGTGGAAGAAAGCAAAGGTTATAATGCTGTGGTGACTTATCATTATTGTGAAAGCGCGGTTCGTAATGAAGTAGGAAAAGGGGCGTAGAATCAGTCGGTCCCAAAGTCTAGATTGATGACTAAGAATTGGCGTTTGCTATTTATTATTAGTGTGTTTTGAGAGATTTTGTAATTTTTTAAAAAATGATATGGAGTACTGCTGATTGTGTAGATTATAGCTACTGAAAATTGTATGGCTGCCAGCTGGATATTCAGCAGATGATAGTTAATCCTTTAAATGTATTATCCACAAAAACCATGGATGTAGGATTTGATTTTGGAATGGTATTAATAATGATGATCAGTGTATGTGAATTCTTTGTGTGTTATCTGCATAGAACACATGCACAAAGGTAGCTGGTAGACATTGTTGAGAAAACATTAAGTCCTTGATTAGACCCCTTTTACCTAGAAACAGTAGGTTGATTGTACAGGGTAATGAATATGATTCTTTATGGCTATTTCCTGTGTGAGTTTACACCCATCAGAATACCAGTCAAAAAGGTAAGTCAAGAATGCTGTGACTTTCTCCTAAAGAGTGTTCTCAGGTCAACTTATTAAGAATCGTGTTGAAAATTTTCAGGTCTCAGAGGTGTCACGACGAGGATGGAATGAAGCTTCAAAGGTATTAAACACTGGAGGGTCAGGAGGGACTCTGGCCTTAACTGGGGGTTCTGGTGGGCCCCATGAACGCTCCTCACTCCTCCTGGGTCCTGGAGATGGTTATCAGCGCCTTGATAATGCGAGGTCAGTCTGGATTATTGTTATCACACTTCACAATGTAGCGGCAACTAATGAAATAACTTGCTTGCATGCATCGAGTGTTGCACTACTTTGGTGTAATATGGTAAGATATATTTTTTTATTTTTTTTATTTTTTTAAGAGTATGAGTACAGGCATGTATTTGGGTATGCATTTGTATGTACTTGCATGCATAAATTCTGGAGAGGTACTCTTAGACTTTTGTGGTTGCATGTTAATGTATGTGAAATATATACTAGTCAACAAGAGTTTTACTTTATCGTGTTCTAATATTTCTCTTATTATAAAAAATGTGTTTCCTTTGCTCTTCGGACTTGTAAAATCTGTTTCATAGCTGCTGAGCATTGTCAATTATTAACCTTTCTGATACTAATGCTAAAGTTATTGTATGGGATTTGTGGTGCATGAATGATACTAATGGGAAGATTGCATGATCTGCATGATTACCTACTAACAGGAAGGAAGATGCTCAGACTGGACTGGGCCTTGACCTTGACCCTGAACAGACTTCCAGGAATAGTGAACTAGCCCCCGAGGATGACTCCAGCATGTGGGAGAAGGGGAGGTGAGTTTTAGAGAATTCATGACATAAAATTGAGGATTTTGGTTGCATGTCAGTAAGAAATGATAAGTATGTGTTTTTATTTGTTGATTAGTAAATATGGTAAACATGATAACTTTTTACATATGTCAAATGGGTAGCATCAGGATGATTTTGATTGACTTTTTTATGAATGTTTCATATAGGAGGTAAGATATGTTAGAGAGACTGTTACAGATTCAGAAATGGACCTCATTAACAGATTTGTGTATATCAACATGTTAACCAGTAGTCTTGTTATAGTTTCGTGCAGTCTGAATATTCCAAAGTAAAAGTTCATTGGTACACTATGGTAAGGATTTTCCTACTTTTGTGTAGGGATAAAATCATTTGCTAGTTTCATTTTATTTCATTTTTTTCTTTATTCTGTATGTACTTTTTAGACAGACTTGTGAGTTACTAACACAAAAACTCTGTGTATATTTGTGACACATTGGAAATTAAGAATGTTTTATTAAGTGTCTTTGATGTTGGTATTGTAAGATCAAGTGATGGCTGGGGTGATGACAACTGGAGCAACGATTGGGGAAGTGGGAACAACAGCTTAACGACTTCTCCCACTCAAGGCGGAAGAAATTCAGCTACTCCATCCCCTAATGCCCGTGCCTCTAAAACAAATTCACACAGCAGCAGTAGTGGAAAGATGAAGGCTTCAAAAAGCAAAGTATGTTTAAGCTCTTTGTTTTGTGTTCTTTGTTTTTTTTAATATATAAATATGTGTATATAGTAGAAAAGGTGTGAATGAGACTGGATATCTTCACAATACAAGAGATGTATTTGACCATTTTCGATTACGTCTTCATCAGAAATACATATATACAGTCTCATTCATACCTTTTCTACATTTGTCAACATGGATTTGGTTCATGTATATATAGATATACTTGTATATATGTGTGTATTTATAAAAAATGTGTTTACTGGGTAGACAGAGACAGACAGACAGAGAGAGAGGGGCATAAAAATAGAGACATACAGAAAGGAACAGAGAGAGTGATTCAGAGAGAGAGTGATACAGAGAGAGAGAGAGAGAGGAGATACAGAGAGAGAGATACAGAGAGAGAGAAGAGAGGGATACAGAGAGAGAGAGAGAGAGAGAGGGATACAGAGAGAAAGAGAGAGAGAGGGATACAGAGAGAGAGAGAGGGGGATACAGAGAGAGAGAGAGAGAGAGACCGAGAGAAAGAGAGAGACAGAGACCGAGAGAGAACAAGAAAGACATGGATAGACACACAGACATAGAGATTTATTGAGAGAGATGAATGATGCATATTAGTTGTGTGTGTACTTGTACTTTTTTCTATTTTTTTATTGTTTTATTCCCTCAGCACCCCTTTCTGCATAAGGAAAGCACATCTGTGTTTTATTGGTCACACTATCTTAAATGAAAATCATTTTTACAGGAGAGTTCTCAGGAGCAGCAGCTTTTAGTGGACCTTGGCAATGACAGCGGGAACAACAGCAAAGGTCACACGTGGGACAATTGGGATGACGACTGGGAGAAGGTCGACGGACAGTGAAACCACTTTGAGACTGTTCAGAATTAGTTTTTAAGATTCCCAAAAAATCATATATACATATATATAAATGCGTGTGGTCTTCATATCTTGCAATTTCATTTTTTGCAGTCACTGTTCAGCTGCAGTTATCATTGATTTCGTGTATTATAAAAGAGCTCCTGAGAGGGTAATTCAGCTCATGAAATCTCATCTTTATGTATGTCAAGTTTTTTTTTAAAGCTCCATTGCAGTCCTTGATCCGTTCTTATTTTTAGTTATTTTCCTTTACTGGTGCAAACAAGAAGCAAAGGACGGAAAAAAATTAAGGGGCAAAACTTAAATATGATGAACTTCAGTTTCACAATGAGTTGAGGAATAGTTGATTGATATTTTAGTTTCCATGAAGCATATATAGTTGATGTTTGAGGAAAGATAGTATTGTGTGCTTCTGTGTGAGGAAGATTCAAAATCGGGAAAGTAGTGCTGTATACGGAGATAAGAAAAGATCATTTATGATTGAATGACCATGGACTTTAAGTACTTTCCAATTTTTAAAAAGGAGACATTGATATTGTCTGTATTGATAACCAGATGAGGGAACCCATTGTATATTTTATGGTTATAGAACAAGGATGTTTTACTATTAAGTTAATATATATTTTTTAGATTGTGTAATTTTTTTTTTTTTTTTGAGATGTTAAAATATCTGTACTTCTTGTAGTGAGTCTTTTTCATATAAACTGTTGTTTATTCCTACTATTGAATTATCTGATCATATCCCTTTTTTTAAGTATTGATTTTGTGGTACCATTGTATGATTTTTGATAATAGGTTTCCAGGGAACTTGGTCTTTTGATTATTACCACCTTTGTTTGAGATAAGTTTTTAATATTCCATTATTATGTATCAAAGAAATAATTTCTTGCACATCTGTTGGAGGAAATGAGAATGAGATTTCTGTCATAGATTCTAAGTTTGGTGGCAGGATGTATTCCAAGTTCATTTCCTTCACCCACGTGGGCTGCCATTTCAGTAACAGTACTCATTGGGCAGTAAAAAACAAAAACAAAAAATTATGTTGGTGGTGGAGGCAGTTTGGTTGATGGGTGAGACACTTTTGTTTTTTCACACCTAAGTAGTTATTAAAAGCTTACTTGAAATTATGGCATGCCAGTGAGAAGACTTTGATTTCAGGAAACTCATGGCATATAATTTATTTGATTATTTTGGTTTAATAGGCTTTGTAGTTTTTTTCATTTTAGCCCGCATGTTAATGGCATATAATCATATCCAATTTTGTATATGAATGGCTGATCGGTAAATGATGGTCTTCAAGGACTAATGTGACAGGTGAATGATTATTTTATGATTTTGTGCCTGAGATTTGTGTGCAGTTTACCATTTTCTTTCACATAACTGCTTTCTATCACATCTTGCTTTCAAGTTCGTATTAGTTTTTGGTTTGTTTGCCTTGTTAACTGGAGTCATTGGGTCTGTTACTGAAAAAATACTATCCATTGAAATTCCAGTTGTTGACAGTGTGTATGATACTAATGAATGAATGACTGTCAGGAATATGGAAGATCAACCATGATAATATTTGAATAATGAGGACTTTTATATTGGACAATAAGAGATTGAAGATGAAATATTTAATGAAATAAACTAGACCTATAACAAACTCATGAAAGCGAATTTTCAGAGTGATAATCAAAGCTCAAGTTTATCCATGATGTGGATAATGATCACAGTGTACGTGGGAAAGACTGCAAACATAAAGTGATACTCAGGAACAGTTTTACAAATACTTCAGAAGAAAAGACAAATTCTGTGAGTTAAAAAATTCACAGATTGAAAAGAGACCATGTCTTATATTTCAGTTCAAGTAGACTTTTCAGGAAAGTATCAATTTGTTTAGCCACACAGTTTTTTTTTTCCCTTTATGGCAGCAGTTGTATTATTATCTTGTATCAGATCAGATACTTGCCTAGAACTCTATACTTGACAGTTTTGATGGTGATATTTCAGAGGATTGTAGGAAGGGAATGTATACTGAAAGATTTGATTGAGTACATTGATACTGTATCAATAGAAACAAGTATTCCATTGGAACTGTTTTGTTTTTCAGAGTATTGAAACAAATGGGTATCAAGATCATAGTCAAAGAGATTTTAACCTGAAGGTACAGGGAACCATACAGTCTACTATTGTTTTCTTTTGTGATGTGTATACTAATTGATGGCCTCCCAAATGTTCAGCTGATTTTTTCCTTATTTTAATTTTGAGAGAGAAAAAAAATCCTACGCTATTAATATTAAATTTATTAATATTAATATTTATTTATAGATTGAAAATTTTCTGCCATGCCAACATGAAAGGTCATATGCAGCATATTCAAAATATAACTATAGAGTGAGGCTTGGGATGATGCCCTGTGGTTAGGAAATTATTTTGTTTGTAGATTCCCAGAATGTTAATGGCCAGAACAAATAATGTGCCAGACATAAAAGGTCATAAAACATTATGATAAAGTATTTTGGCAATAAGAGTAAAACTTAATAAAGATTAGGACAAAATATGTTAGATGTCAAAGGTTGCTGAGCCCTGTTAGTATGACTGAAAAAGTTAAAGAAGGAAGAGCAGATGGAGTACAAAGGCTGTTCAGAACTGACACAATGCTAGCCTTTCTTCCTGTCAGCACAGCTCATACACCTTACCTTAGGGAGTGGAGAGAAGGGGATGAAGAAAAGAAGAGAAAGGAAAGGGGGAAAAGAAAAGACCATGCAAAATCGAGGCGAGGGCTGAAGTCCAAGGTGGGGTGATCCCTTACCTTGGGCCTCAGCCTTCATCTCCTAAGCCTCCCCACGACAACGAACAAGGTATGGGGGGTTATTATTAATATCAATGTTATTAATGTTGTTGACATTATGATTATTATGTTATTAATACTAATAGCAATGAAAAATTTTAAACAATATATTTGAAAATCAAGGAAAAAGGTAAACAGGTGAGCTAGGTAGGACTAGTAATTGACTCCTTGGGGATTATGCACTTGTGAAGCCATCTGTGTAACAGCAATCAATAAACAATAAGACACAGTGGAGCTAGTATGTATTTGTGCCATCTCATCAACAGGGGTTAATTGCGGAGATTAGATTACGTTATATGGTTAGATTTTTAGGATTTCTTTGCTGTACAATTACATGCTGTACATTACGAGATGCACAATAAAGCAACAGGTGTGTCCTCTTAAAAGTCTTTCTTGGCTAACACATACAATATTTCTGCAAAGGCATTCCCAGGGATTGCAGAGAAGTTTGACAAGTTTCTCTTAAGAGGTTTGCTGAAGAAAAATGAGATATCAAGAATTTAACTGAATATGTTCTTTGGAATTATTTGAAGTTTATGAACAAAATTATTTGTTTCAGTTGTTAATGAGTAGTGATATAAAAAGGGCCCAGATGTATCTTTTTTCAAGTACAGACTAAATGTTCCTATTTTTTTGTAGGGAAAGTGAAGATTAATATATGCCCCTGTCTTCATGGCACAATGGACACAGCATTTACTAAAACAAAGGAATATATATATATTTCTTTTATCTGTCTTCCTTGATATTACTTCTCTATTATTCAATATTCCCATATCATTACATATAACTTGGTTTTGCTTTACTTCTGGCACATGGTTTGCATATTTCTCAAGTTTATTTACTATGTTGAGGCCTTCAAGCATGTGCATGGTCATGGGTATGCATACCTGTACACAGAAGCATTTTGTCTACTTGTAATAACAACTGAGTATACAGAGGAATGATCACCAATGATCTCTAAGAACTGCTGCAACAGATTTAAAAATCCCAGATTGTTTATGTTTATCCAATTAACGTGTCGGTTAGTACCAATATATTTGCTGTATTATGATTTATTATTATTAGTAGTAGTGTTATTAAAACTAAGGCATTTATTGACAATATTAAGATGCTGGACATTACCATGCAATGGAAGAAAAGGATTAAAATTTTGTATTTGGGTACTAATTGTGTTCATTGAAATTTTTGAGTTTCTCCTTCCTCGTACTAGTGAGTTGTTCCTTCCTGGTATTAGTGTAAGCTTGACATTAATATCATGCGCGTATTTCTTTACTTTTGTGTGTATATGTTTGTACTGTGCTGATGACATAGAAATTGGAAACAGGATTGCATGTTTGTAGAGAAAATGCACATAATGATTGTGCACTGTAATTGCTATTGAGGCACTTTTGTGAAAAAGCTTCCAGCAAAACAAGTTTATCCTATTGTAAATTTTGAAGTTCAAGTTATATTTCAAAACATGTATGTGCACAAAGTAGTGCAGGTGTAACTTTTAACCTTTTATCCCGCATAGTGATATCATATGATAATAAGTAGAGGGTTATATGTCATACAAGGCCGTCCTTCACCCACAGTATAGAGCCCTATGAAAAGATTTTCTTCTACTTTGATTTATAGCATCACAACTAGAGTGGTCATAGGATGGGGATAATATATCCAAACTTGAATTCACACCTTTCAAGTTTTTATTTGTGTATTCTACTGTTTGTGGTATGATGCTGTCTGACTGATACACCCACCAAGAGCAGATTTATGATTTAAGGTCTTTTTAGCTACTGGTAAATTTAAGTGCAAGACTAGATAAAAGAAAGTATAGTCAAAGAAGTGATTTAACAACCACTATTGCAAGATAACCATCTGATTAAACCTCTGAAAAGCTATTTTGTGTATCTAAGGAACATCTGGTAAATATTTAGACCGTTTATCAGTTTCAAGGTGCATCTTCAGATAACTTTCCTTACTTGAATACTGAAAGCCTAATGAATGGTTAATGGTTAAAACAATAGATTTGCTAAACATCAAAGGTCATATAGCACTATGGGAAAGTATAGTAGCAAAAAGGAAAGTCTAATGAATTCACAGTATTGAATGTGAACTTTTGCAATTATTGAAATATATTTCTTTTGTTTTGATAACCTGACTTTGTTTTAGTAAAGATCATGATGACATGCTTGGTAAAATATATCGTGGTTAGGTTTTTGACAGCATACTTGGCTTAGTATATTCTTTTTTTAATTCCTCAGAATGTATTTCTATATTTTGTCTCTATGGTCTGTGTCTTTGTGTTTTAGGAGGATAGGATTGTAGTAACCATCATATATCATTGTATATTGTAATGCATTCATCTATATTTTGTGTAGAGAGTCAATAGTAATACATTACAGGATGTGCAACATGTCCATTATTGTGTGCAAAATATTTGCTGGCTGGCAACCATAGTCTACCCCTTTTAATGCCCTCCCCCTACCAAGCTTTGTACATCAAATAATACTTATTTTCAGGCTTTTAGCAGTTGTTTTGCAAATTGTTTTGAGTTTCATTAAAAATCATCAGTCTTAGATTTATAACCTTGCCATTTTTTGCACTTTTAGGATTCTTGGTATTTTGAAAGGTTCCATATATGTTGAAGTTCAGATTGGAGAGGTAATGTTTAGTGCAGCAAGATAACAGGGAAATTTATGGGACAGATTAAGAACATGAAATATCACACAGAATGCAAATTTTTATAAATGTCAATTATTCTAAAATTGGCTAGACTGCTCTTGGAACTGATTAAAAGGATAGTCAACACTGTATACTCATAGCAAATGTGATCTGCTCAGGAAAATACAATAATAAACACTCATTTGGATATAATAGCATGTGAAGTATAAAGTTTTTTCTGCAGTTGCTCACATGGTTGCGCTTTATGCGGATGAAGTGGATGCTAAAATGTTATGCTTATAAATGCTATTCCAAGTGAAGCTAACAAACAAGGTGATTGCAGAACACATCTTGCTTTCTTACTTGCCTCCTCATGATAAAAAGCTTGCAATGCAGTGTGCAGTTAAAGAGTGAATGAAAGGTTACACATTGCATGCCTTGAATAACTTTATAGAACTATGATAAATTTGCCTCCTCTGCATATAAATGATAACATACAGAGTATTCTGCTGGTTTATGCAACTCGAAATGGCTGACTTTTTGGAGTCGTGTGCCTGCCTATGATAAATTATAGCTTTTCTAACTTTGATACATATCTGGTAATTTTTATAAAAATAGAATGAACTCAACTCAAGAAAGCAGAGCAGAAAATGAAATATTGTATAATGTGTGTTCTGGTGCCATGTTCCAGCTGTGTCATGTGCCATAGTTCATATTTAGATCTTCATATTTTCCTAAATCGTAAAACCAGGTCTTGTTGAAATAAGCCTAAATGGTATTGTACTTAAATTTGGATTTATAAAGAAAAAAGTTCTTTACTTGGCCCACTTCACACACAATTGTAGAGTGTATACATGGTTATCGGTAAATGTGAAGTGCAAGACGTATGAACTTACTAATTCTAAAAGTATCAACGAAGATTTGACGTCTTCTATTAACATTAAAATTCTAAGGTATTATATCTTTAAGTTAAATGAGTGGGTAGGATTCAAAGGTACCACATATTGTGCGGACACATGAAATCCAAAATTAATACAAAGAAATAGGTTACTGAAATACTGTCAGAAGATGCTTCATTCATTCTGCTCTGAAGTATTTTGTACTGGTAGTGATCTGCCGTATATGATGTTTGATTTGTTTACTAGACCTATCTATATGTAGCATTATTAAAGTTTATTTTCATATTCTAAACACTTTTATCTGGATGATTATATCTTATGAAGTTGTGCTTTTATTTCTTGCTTTAACTTTAAATTATGAAATATTTAATAAAGAATAATGACAAAGTTTTGTATCTTATCCACAATCATTTTTATGTACTTTCTCACATTATTAATTTCCAAGTTTGGATGTCACTTATTTCTTGGCTGCTGTGTAGAAGGCTTTGCATCAACATTTATTCTGCAAGTTTCCTTCAAAATATCTAGATCTACCTATACCAATTTCCAAATCAGCCATGTCACACGTGCACAGAGGCAAAACCTATACTCGGTCGCCCCTCGCCCCTCGTCCCCGCTTGCAGCACAAACTGCATACATCCACTTGTGTAAACACTATACACAAAGGCATCCTTAAGTAGTGCACAGCAACCAAGACAGTTGATAAAGCTATCACTAGCAAACCTGAAATCTTTCTAAAAGTTTGGAATGACCCGGTAAAATGTGTTGCTTGCTTACAAAGCCTAGTTTCATAATGGGAAGCTTGGGGACCACCATCAAGTACCAAATGCATTTTATTTTTACTTCCTTAACCTGCAAGGAATTGGCGTTTCAACAGAGCATGGGGATGGTAGTTACCGATTTCTTTTATGGGCTTGCCCCCGATTGATCGCCTGGCTTTCTTGTTCAAAAAACTTTATTTGTTAAAAAAAAAAAAGTTAAAAACAAGTCGCTCACATAACTAAGACAAGTAGTAGACAAGTAGGATTCATGCATAATAATAATAAATAAAATGTATTATCACAATGAAACAAACAAGCTAATTTTTTTTTTTTTTTTTAATTGGTGCACTGAATGCTATCGTCATACCCGCCAAAACTCGTGAAGAATTTCCTCGGTGCGCCGATGCTTCTTCAACCCTGTCAGCAGACGGGACTATTGTGCATGAACTATTAATTTTATCTTGATTTTTATTACTAAAAACCACACGATTTTGATTATATTATCGTAAAGTACACTATAATCTGAGGTTTGACAGCTATTTGAAAGGCGAGTAAGATAAGACGTATTTTTAATTACTGCCTTATCAAGAACACTAGTCGATAGACTTCATGCTTTCCTTATTGTTCTATTCTCTAGTCCATACATTTTACATCTCCCCGTCTGCCTTCACCTCTTGTCTATTCATCGTCATCCCTGCCTGTAAAATAGTAAATATATTGTCAAGGAAATGTATCACCAAAAGGATAAGCGACGGAAGTAGAGCAAGAAGGGAAGAACAAAACAAGGTCAGCTGCATGTGGGTCGGGGCGACGACACCTGGCAAACAGGAACAGCTGTTTCCCGCCAACACTTGCGGCCTGTTTGGCATCCTCGCATACCAGCATTTAAGTTTTCATGCCAGCACTTACCGCAGCTTTTACACATCCATAATCCCAAGTTCTAGATAAATTCCCTTTTCACAGTTTGGTGTCAAGCAGGGAATACAAAAAATGCGACCATTTCATTGGCAAACGTCAGCAGGTGTGAATCAGCCAGCGAGCGGAAGACGAGTGCCTGCGATCGTATCTTGGGAGACAATTGTATTACCACATATTCCGAAGAGAGACGAATAGATAAATAGAAGAGGTCCACTCAGTTATGTGGAGAAGAGATGCTGAAGGAAGTCAGAGAATATTATTACATACATCAGAATAGGAGGCACATTAGCTGAAGTCAGACTAGTTATCTTTGCCTTCTCTTTCCACGGATGTTATCAATTTGTGTCTCGGTCTTCCCATGGGCGCCGCATCTGCAAACTGCCCGCATGGTGGTGCACCTGCCCAGGAATTTGATTAATGCCAGAGAAGACGACCACCTTTGTTGACCCTAATTTTCAGCCTCATCCGATATCTCTTTTATTGCGAGACAGACAGGCCATGGGAATTGAAGAAATGCGAGAGTAAGAGTAAATTTAAATCTGAATAAAGAGTATTTAAATTTCACACAATTAAATATCGTTTCTAGATGTTTTCCTGTTTGCGCAGCAGTACTCTAAGACTACCAAATCCGTGACATAGAAGTTATATTAAATCCAAATTGGTTATTTGCGCCTCGACTCCTCCGCTCAAGAAAATCCTTTTACTTCCCCGGGCATCTTAAACTGACCGAGTGGAATGTCTCGCTGTTTTTTTCCCACCAGTGAATGTGTATTTCCTCGGTCCTTTTGCCAATGACAGGAACAATAGTTGTGGTAATAGTGATGGTGAGGTTATCTTCATAACAAAGATAATGATGATGATGGCAATAATGATGATAATGAGGACGAATACGATAAAGAGGGGAAAAAAACAAAAACAAGAGCACGAGATGAAACTACTGTGGGCCATTCAGGATTTAGGTTTCTAAACTGTGGAACAAAAATGGATGATACAGCTTCAATCGAAATATCAGGAAAATTTTGTGGTTATTGAAAATGACAGCGATGCCGTGAGACGAAAATATTCGATACAGTGATCAGCCTTGCGAAACTGTCGCTGCATAATAATACTACGTTATCATAATTGATACAAAATAACGATTATACTAATAATGCTACTACTAATAATTATGATGTGAATGACTATCATAATAATAGTAATACAGGCCATAATGATACTGTTAGTGCTACTACAACTGCTACTACTACTAATACTAATAATAACGATGATGATAATAATGACAATAATGAATTAATCACAACGAAGATAAAAAAACAATAACAACAGCAATGACAATAGCTGCCAGTAGTAATGAAAGTGCAAAGCCAGAGGCTCCTGAAGATGAAACAAACTCCGAGAATCAGCTGAGACGCCGGAATTTCTCGGTAGAAGACGAAAGAAGACGGCCTGTGGTAATTTCTCTAAGTTTAGGAATCCACAGCATTCGGTGAGATGATTTACGCAACAATCGTGAATGATAATGATTATGTGGTAGTATAACAAGAAGCAACAATAATTATTATGAAATGATAATACGATAATAACGATGATCATAATATTATCAGTTCTAATACTAATAACTACTAAGACGTGGAAACCGCACGGAACAAAAAATAAAGAGGTACTCCTTTCTCCCTCTTTCACCCTCTTCCTAGCTTTCGCCTCTCCCTCTCGCTTTCCTTTTCCCTCTCACTTTACCTTTCCCATTTCCCACTCCGCCACCCCGTCGATCCAAAATCTCCCTCCTATTCACTCCTCTGCCACTTTAATCCATAAATGTACATCCAAGGTTATATATATAGCACTATGGTATTGTATTGTGGTGAGAGTTTTTTTTAAGTTCTTTATTAGAGTTAAAATGTCAGATTTCGACGGTCATTTATTGTATGATAGTATAGTATTTAAAGGAGTAGAAAGAGAGGGTAGATGGGGCAGGGTAGGTATTGATGACAAGAGGAAGGGTTAAGGACAATGGATGGTTAGATCAAATGGAGGATATTTATGCGTCTGAGGAAGGAGAATAAATTATCAACAGAAAATGTGGGGGATTCTGTACGAAACCCAGCAAGAAAGACAACTCAAATGGCTAGGAAGAGAAATGAACAGGTGTCTCAGGTCCCGGAGTAGACCGTCTTCTATTGATGGATCGAAATCAAGTGACATAGGCCTACTTAACATGAATCGAAATCAAGTGACATAGGCCTATCTTAACATGATCGAAATCAAGTGACATAGGCCTACTTAACATGAATCGAAATCAAGTGACATAGGCCTACTTAACATGAATCGAAATCGTGACATAGGCCTACTTAACATGAATCGAAATCAAGTACATAGGCCTACCTAACATGAACCGAAATCAAGTGGGCCTACTTAACATGAATCGAAATCAAGTGACATAGGCCTACTTAACATGAATCGAAATCAAGTGGCATATGCCTACTTAACATGAATCGAAATCAAGTGACATAGGCCTACTTAAAGGACACAAGGTAATTTACCCGTATAGTCATGGCATTGCATTAGATGTATATCCCTCAGATTTTCAAAGATCTCGTATTCCCACAACCATAATGAGGATTAAGACCAATACTAAAATTATTACAGCGCCTTTAATTTTGTTTTAAATCGTAGCATTGGCTAATATATCAACAAACACGAGTAACTAATTAGACATGAACTCACTAACATGACGTCAGGATGCCAAACGAGACATTACAGAAGTCTGCTCATCATTCCTATAGCACGTTAGTTTGGCGAAGGAATGTGCGGACTTTGGCACACGTCACGCACCTGACTATGGAAATGGCCCGCATACATTCTTTGACATTTGAAAACATTCCGGAAAAAAATGTCACTTGGCAGAACTTGTGTGATTAATGGGAATCCAATCATCTTTACTTTGTAATCAATTTGTAGATCGCATTATAACTTAAAGCCAGACTGTTGACATGAAGCCCTGTATCAGTGTTTCTCAACTTTTTTTTTTTTTTTTTTTTTTTTTTTTTTGGGGGGGGGGGTTGCGATTCTAGATAATCTTAACTTGGGCTAGCGACCCTAAATGTGTGAACATGTAGAAATAAATCCAACCATTTTTATGTTAGTTCTCCTTGCAAGTGTTTATGAGATGTTATTCTATTCATACATATTTATATTACTCACACGATGAACTTCAATAACTTTGAAACGGGAAAGAAAACATGTTCTTTTATTCCTTTTCCAAGGCCCGTCGGCGTCCCCCAGAAAAAACCCTGGCGACCCCTACTAGGGTCTCGTCCTTGGGCTTGGGAACCACTGCCCCAAGGTCTATATAAGTACTTCTACAGACCTTGCACTGTCCTACGTCACCGCCTCAAAGATCTCCCGCAAAGAAGTTGATCCGAGCCAATTACAGTTTGGACTTTTAATCTATACCGTAACTTGTCGCCCCCGTTCACTCGGCCTGTAGCTTTAAAGATCATGGAAGGAGCGGTTACCGAGAGATGAGCGTGCTGCTCCCTTTGGCCCTTGGAGTGACACCCCTTCTTCGGTGGCAGCGACATGCTCTCGATGCAGGTCTCTGAGCGGAATCCAGCGACTGACCCGTCATGTGTCAGAATATCAAGTTATCAACTACTACTATCTTTCGACAGCTCCGCTCTTCTTCACAAGTAACCCCGAAGGCCCTTT